GGCTCGAAGGGTTAATGACCTTTCCCAAATCTTCGCTCGCGAAGACTGGCCATTATATATATTATTAGTAGCCCAATATCTAGCAGCTAAAAGAGTTAGCAAAGAAATATCTCACTACTCTCCTTGTGATAACTGAAAGTCACTCTGGAACGATCGCCGGCAACCTCTGCCTCCCAAGGTCGACAAGGCCTAACCAGGCCTCGCTCCCCAACACGGCAGACTCAACAGCAGGGAACCTGCACCTCCAAGCCACCAGAAGGAAAGAGAGCAAAGGCCTTTCCTCCTTTCTTCTTATAGCCTGGCTTATGTAAAAATCGTAGGGAATACCGGGTAAATCTGGGCCCTTCCTTGGTCACAAACTGGTCACCAGGGAAGGCCCAGACCAAACTAACACACAAGCTTTTCCATAGGGAGATCCTTGCAGGCCAACCATGTTTCAGGCATTTGGGACAGGCTGGGAACGGGGATTGCTGAGGTCAAGGCTGGTGTTTTGTGCTCTTAGTGGAGAGGGGAAGGACCCTACTCTGCTGCTGAAGCTTGTTCTGCAGCACCACGGTTTCCATGAGAGGACAACCCTGCACACAGCCTTGGCTGAGACGGGCTGAGAGCTGGGACTGCCCAGCTTGGAGAAGAGAAGGTTGTGTGGAGACCTCACGGCCCATTCCATGATCTGAAGGGGCCTGCAAGGAAGCTGGAGAGGGACTCTGCGTAAGGAACTGGAGTGACAGGACAAGGAGTGGTGGGGCAGGGAATTGGCCATTTCCCCAGGGAAAGGGGAGACTGTGTCCTGAGCTGGGGCTGCAGGACATGGGAGTCTGGTGAGCCAAGGGAAGCTCCAGGGGTCAGACTGGGACCCACCAGGCACCCCAGGACCCCAAAAAGGAGGACCAGCCTCGGGTGCTCCCTCTGCTCACACAGAAACACCCCCTGGAGACCCCACCACTCACGTGCCCTCCACGGGACCCCACGGACGTGCCTCAGCTTCTCTCCAATCAGCCCCAGGCAGTGGGACCAGCAGCCCCTCAGCGGGATGGAGACTTGAGGGATTGAAAATTATAAATTCTGTATTTGGTTTATTGTCACTGTATAGCTTTGCATATGTTATACCTTTTTCCCTGTGTATGTGATTCTCGGGTTCTGATTGGTTGAATTTTGCTGCAGTATTATGCATATTTATGTTTTTTTTCCTTATATGGTCATAATATGTGTACTCCGCCTTCACTCCTCCCCTTGTTTTGGCACCTTCCCTATCTCGAGGATATAAAGCTGGAGCCATTTTATGTTCGAGGCTTTTCTGTTCTTCCTCCCGACCTGTTGAGTTGTACCCTGCCTGGGGCAAACCCTACAATAAAATCTCCTTACCAATTCCATCTAAGGCGTTGTGGGAGTGTTCGTTTAGGCGCGTTTAGGTGGTAGCAGAGGATGGTTACACTCCCACAGGAGAGTCCAGCTGGTCCTCTCCTGCAGCCTCAGCCCTTCCAGAGGCTCTTCCCTGCCCACAGGGAGAGGCCAGGCAGGCTCTTGTCCCCCCACCCTGCCCCAAGGACAGGGCACACTCCAGGGAAGGGCTGCCCACCGGGCACACACCCCACATGGCTGGGCAGGAGCTGAGATAAGATCCAGTGTTTGCCTCCAGTTTGCAGCCACTGCTCCCAAATGCTGCTGGGGTTTCCCTCATCCCCCCAGGAACATTCTCACCAAAGCACTTTGCTATCAGCCAAGTATAAGATAACTTTAAGATCGACTAAGTGAAGATAATTTTCTTATTAACTACTTGTTCCTGGTTAAACCAGTGTTGGTTTTTTTTGTTGTTGTTGTCTGGTGAAAACCTTTTATCCTTCTGGAAAAGACCAGAAGGGAAGCAAGCACTGCTCCTCCTGTGTGGAATTCCTTTTGTCTGGGCAAATAAATGGTTTCTTGTGTAATAAACTCCCGGTTCATGGAGGTGTTTGGCTCGTGAGCATCCCACTGGCTTCGCTCTGAGCATCCCATGGGAAGCTGGGCATGGAGATGACTTCTCTCCAAGCTTTGGGGGATGGAATGGGGTGGGAGAAGCGAGCAAGAGGCTGAAGGAGTTCTGTTTTATCCTTCCCTTCTTTTTTCTTTTTTTTGCCCATTTTCCTTTCTTGCCTCTTTCTCCTCTCCCTTCCCTTCCTTTCTCTTCCTTCCTCTCCTCAAAATACAACTTTCTGGGAGTAAAAAACTCATTCTCATGTTCTTTTGTGGTGACCTCGAAACATCTCAAGAACGTGAGTTTCTTCCTGCTTTTATTTTGCATCTGTTTGTTTTTTTCTTTTTTTTTTCTTTTTTTTTTCTTTTTTTCTTGTTTTTTTTTGGGGGGTTGGGGGGTTTTTTCTGTCTTTTTTGTTGTTCTTCGGAGGGGTTTTTT